ATTTTGGAGGACTTAGTGCATGATCATTGTAGTAGTAATGAGTATCTGATACATGGTTACTTGCTTTGATCATGTTCATTTTGTAGCTAAGTCCTTTGGCATGTATATGAGATTTGTAATTAAGACATGATATAATATTGTAAGTAATGAAGATATTTGTGTATGATGCTTACTGTAAGTTAAATGCATGAATGTATTTTTATGTATTGGATATGTTGAGCTGGAAAGTCAATTAGGTACCTTGTGCTAAGTTGGGAAACGTTGAGAAAACAAAGATTATGCTGCCCAATTTCCGTTAAATCAATGATGAGAGGATGAGAGTTGAGCAATGATATAGGGATATCACAAGCTTGTTAAATAGGTTGTAAAATGTGTAGGATTGATTCCCCAAGAAAGATGCATGAAAAACATGAGTATAGGAAATTGCCCAGAAGAGGGGGCTTAAGCCTGCAAATGGAGGCTTAAGCCTGCTCAGGGGGCTTAAGCGCCCATGAGGGGGCTTAAGCGCCCTGATGCACCTGTGAAGACCAAAAGCTTTCTGCCGCATGGGGCTTTAGCGCCCAAAATGGGGGCTTAAGCGCCCAGGTAGCGTGCTTAAGCGCCCTGGAGCGAGCTTAAGCGCCCTGCCCGCGTAGTTTTTCAGCATACACCTGAGTTAGTAAAATTGTCATAACTTGAGCTACAGAGCTCCAAATGAGGAGCGGTTTGAAACCACGCGTAGCTAACGAAGAGATCTACAATATAGTAGAAATTGTGAAATAAATAAGAAGTAAATTAATGGTTTAAAAATGGAATAAGAACATGATGTTAAGCTTGGTTTATCTGATTCCGCAAAGTAATATGGTTATGATCACGCAATTGGGCATTATAAATTCGGCATGTTTTAAAATGAAAAATTTAACCGGATTTTAATTGAACCCATGTGATTGTAACTGCGCTTAATATCATAATGCGATGTTAACAAACCGGTTCTAGAACGGGGTGTTACATTTTAATTGTTTTTATGTTGGAATTGGTCGTCTGATCTGAAATTCAAAATCTGAAATGGTTTAAAATTTTGAATTTAAATATGGATGGTGGGAAAAGAAATTCTTTTAAAAATCAAATTTTAATCTTTAAATCGAATAATTAAATAACCATTGGTGGTGGCAGACAAGACATTGAATGTCCCACTGCCCATCACATTGGTATCCAAAAAGAAATCAGCTGATTTAATTGCTTTTTATGTTGGAATGCGTCATCTGATCTAAAATTCGAAATTTGAAATGGTTAAAAATTTTGAATTTAAATATGGATGGTGGGAAAAAAATTTCTTTTAAAAATCGAAAATTAATTTTTTTAAATCAAATAATTTAATGACCATTTGTGGTGGCAGACAAGACATTGAATGTCCCACACTGCCCATCACATTGGTATCCAAAAAGAAATCAACTGTTTTAATTGCTTTTTATGTTGGAATTGATCATCTGATCTAAAATTCGAAATTTGAAATGGTTTAAAATTTTGAATTTAAATATGGATGGTGGGAAAAGAATTTCTTTTGAAAATCCAATTTTAATTTGTAAATCGAATAATTAAATGACCATTTGTGGTGGCAGACATAAAACAATAATTAATTAATAAATATGGTTTTGAAATTCGAAATTTTAATTGGAAATCAACTGTTTTAATTGCTTTTTATGTTGGAATTGATCATCTGATCTAAAATTCGAAATTTGAAATGGTTTAAAATTTTGAATTTAAATATGGATGGTGGGAAAAGAATTTCTTTTAAAAATCCAATTTTAATTTGTAAATCGAATAATTAAATAACCATTTGTGGTGGCAGACATAAAACAATAATTAATTAATAAATATGGTTTTGAAATTCGAAATTTTAATTGGATAATCAGGTGTTTCAATTGCTTTTTATGTTGGAATTGGTCGTCTGATCTGAAATTTGAAATGGTTTGAAATTTTGAATTTAAATATGGATGGTGGGAAAAAAATTTCTTTTAAAAATCGAATTTTAATCTTTACGTGCAAGAACCAGGAAGCATCTGAAGCTCGAAATGCCTACATTTTTTTATTATATAGTTATTTTGTTTTTAAACGTTGAAACAGATAATGACATTTGTCTTTCATGACCAGAAATTGCTGACGCATTGATGACATGACTTCTACTCCCTCAAAAAGCAAAACATATATTTAATTAAATTACCGAATAAGTAATTAAAATTTATAATTTTACGAATAAGTAATTTTGTAAATTTTAAATTTTTATTACCCAAAATTATAAAGTGAAAGCGCACATGTTCTGAACATCAATTTTAAATTTTAAATGACTTCTATCTTAATGACGTTTGTCCTATGTATCTTAATTTCACCCTGCAATTCGAATACGGCACTGTCATTTCCGCACACTGAGTTTTTTTTTATCTCGCGGACTTTTCTTTTCTATTTTTTTGGTATTTTTGGGAGTATCTCTCTTTTCTCTTCGCTTTTCCATTGAAGCACATCTATATACATATATACATATAAAGGAGAGTTTAAAAAGTTCTTAATTTATCTTCTCTTTTCTCTTAATCAAAAGTTCTTCCAAGCAAGTTGGGCGCTGTCATGAATAAACATCAATCAGATTTCCAAACTCCCCAAGTTAAGAGAAGAAGGACGGACCGTTTAAAAAATATTCTGAGTGATTCTTCGACCTCAGGTTGTCGTGTGTTGTCTCCCTTTACTGGTAAGTGCGAAACGCTATCCTTCGACCTGTTCATGGTTCGTATGTTTATTTTCTGTTACAGAAGTTTCTTTGTTGTTCATTTCTTTTTACAATGCTTACTATGAACATAAGTTGCACTTCTTTTTTACTCCTTTCACTATGAACATAAGCTGCTTTTGTTTTTTTTGTTTTTATTTTCAGTCATAACATATCCCTATTACATGTAGCTGTAGTTTACAAAAAATATATAAATAAATATATTTCTTCGTGTGTAGACTTTGATAAGTTGCTTTTGTTTGTCATATTGTAGAGAATCTATCTCCGTTCACTGACACTCAGGCCAGCAGGTATTTTTTATTTCGCTCTGAGTTCTTTTTGTGTTGCTTTGTAATGGTTGATTTCAAATCCTTTTTAGTTCCATTAGATGTTATTTCTGATTGTTGCTTTTTATAACATGTAGACTTTCTGGAGTAAGCAATGTACACAATCAGTTGAGCTGCAATAGACAACAGCTCCATAATATTATTAACGGTAACATTACGTTCACTGTTAAATTGTAGAAAAGTATTTGTAGTTTAAACCCTAAAAAAATAATATGATATAATTCTTCGTATGTAAATGTTATTAAAACCAATTTATTGATTTTAACTAACTCTGTCTGTTTGTTTAATGTAACAGATGTTTGTACAGTTGAATTTCAGAAACGTGGACTGCAATAACAGCTGAAGCAATCAATTCCATATTACCTCAAACAAATCACCGAGTTTGTGTATGGCATGTCTACCAAGAAACCCTCAAGCAACTAAGTCATTTGTCTGTTGGATCTGGTTCTTTACTAAATGTTTGAGCAGCTGTTTTTTTTATCATGAGGAGGAGGAGGATTTTGTTAATGCATGGAATGCTCTCCTGGACATGTATGATCTGTGGGAAAATGAATGGTTGCGTCAAATATATGAAAGCAGAGATCAATGGGCCATAGCTTACAGGAGACATATTTTTTGCGCAGACATGGCAAGCATGCTACTGAGAGAAAATCTTACTGGCAACCTCAAAAAGCACCTAAAGAATGACTCAGATGTTCTTCCATTTTTTAAACATCTTGGGAAGGTGTTGACTGATTGGCACTACAAGGAATTAGAAGCAAACTATGACATGAGCCAATGTATGCCAGCCCTAATGGGGGATATCATTACGTTAAAGCATGTAAGAGATCCATACACACCAAAGATATTTGAATTATTTCAGAAAGAATATGAAGCATGTTTAAATCTTGTGGTAAAGCATTGCACTGAGAGGGGATCATTGTGTAGTTATACAATTAGCGTACATGAACAAATACGAGAGTATTCGGTTACTTTTGATTCATCTAATGGGACAATCAGTTGCTGCTGTATGAAATTTGAATATATGGGAGTCATATGTAGCCATGCATTAAAAGTTCTTGATTATAGCAACATAAGGATACTTCCATCCCTGTACATTTTAAAGAGATGGACAAAAGATGCTAGAGTTTGAATTGTCAATTTTTGGAAGCAAATTTGAACATGTCATAATAAGGTAGCATTTCATTCGCTACAAAACTTCAAGGTAGTGAAAGGGAAGCCTATGTATTAATCTTGTGTGAAAATTGTGCATCATCTTCTTGCAAGGTTAGTTGCATTTGTATTTTGTATCCTTACAGATCAGAATATGGAAATAGACAATAACTCAGATTTCTTGACCTAATCCTGCTTTTTTTTGTATGTGCAGAAGTGGCGTTCCACAGCATATCCATTCTTCAGTAATTATTAGCCAATTTGCCTGTATCTCAAGGTTATGGGCCAATTGGTGATCATAGGCCAATTTGTCTGCATCTTGACCAATTTTCCAATCCGGTTATACTAGTATTCTGTTGTTATCTTCTTTGTTTTTAGGCGTTCACTAATATTTGAAAAGAAAATGTTTGTTACAACTTGAACCTATGACTTTTACCAATAATCTTGTACAATTCAACCCACCAAATCACTTAAGTTATGCCCAAATGGCATAGAAAATGTATATTAGGTCAACGAAGATTATAATAACAGTCAGAAGGAGAGATGGTAAGGGTGGAAGTAGAAGAAGGAATAACAGTGAGTGAGAAGGCCACCAATGTTGCTATGTACCCACCCCCATAATACAACAAGGGTCATACTTATGATCTTTGGTGCCAAATTAATGTCGTACTGCCCTAATTCCTTGAAGACACATTTACAAGTTTACACTGATCTTTCAGCTGCTAAAAGAAGCAATTTGTCAAGTGATACTGCTTTCTGCATCATCATTATTTGTAACTTCTGTCATTCTGGTTTCCATGCTGAATATTTGGTGATGTATTCTCAAGAGGATTAGTCAAGGTGCGACCACCCTTTCCCTGGAAATTCTTGGTGCCATTGTTTTTCAGTGAAGGTCTGTTTGGAGGTAAAGAATAGTTCTCTGCCACACCACTGTGGATGTGTTTTCTTCCCCCTTTAGGTGATGCAGTATGTTTCAGTGGGTCCTGCAAGACAGCAGTTGAAAACTTTTTCAACTTTTGGCTATTAGGAAGTATTATTATTAGTCACAACTGAATCATGTTGCTCTCATGGAGTTGAACTTGATAAAAATCTTTATATTTACCATCTTGGAGTTGTAAATAATTTGAGAAAGATACCTTTCTTGTCTCATTTTTTGATGCTTTCCTTTCATTGTAAAAATCAGGTAGTGGCCTGGCTTTGAAGCACAAGCTTTGGCGTAGTTTTCTAATCTCTATTTCTGCTTTCTCCTGCAAATAGAAGCATTTGAATGTTATTGATTAAACTGAATTCTAAGGTACAAACAAAGTTAAGATAATTCTCACAACGACATGTTACACTTGGTGTTATTTTACTTGTCACCCCCACCTTGAGTTTTGTATGCAGCTGCACTTTTTGTGCTTCATCAGCATTGAATTTTTCCTCAAGTTTCTGAAATTCATGAAGATCGATACACGAAACAAACAAGTTGTTTAGCAACCATATTAAGGAAACCTCATGATCAACTAAATAGAAGAGAAAGAAAATGATTTTAATTTTTGCCTTCTTTCTTCTTGCGGCCCTTTCTTCTGTCCTCAAGCTGAAAGGGGATGATATAATTGGGGATCTCATTTTATTCCTGCATGCAATAAAACATTGGAAATACTGATCTGAATACATTAACAAGAAAAAATAAAGTACCTTCAAGAACAAGAGACCATATTGGTAAAAGTACTAGCAAAGTTGCATGACCATCCAATCAGTTACTATTTTGATGAGATTATAATGAGTTGTCTGAGAATGTTTTTGTTAAAAGAATACCCAAGGCAAGACTAATTGTTCAATTATTCTTAACTCAAGAATTTTGGAATCTATTAGGCACTCCGAAAATTTTATTACACAACTTACTCTGCAGAGAGCAAGCGCCATTTAGGGCCAGCTGTATGGTTGTCTGAAGCTGATGAACCAAAAGGTGTATTGTTCCTATGATTTCACAAAATTTACATGCACAATATCACGATGAGAACAGCTAGGGAAAACATGAAAGCAAGCAGTTTTGCATTATGATTAAAAATTTTGTAGAAATCAGTTACCTTTTCTTTTCTGTTAATGGGGTCAATGATGAATGCTTTTGCATCTCCTTAGAAGCCTGTAATGGGAAAATGACTCACTTTAGCATCCTTGACAGTCATTGCAACTAGGAAGATCATAGCAAAATGGAAGTTGAAAGGCTAGTAAGAGGGTAAAAAGACATAGCAAAGACGCTGGAATACCATAGTTGGGGTTCTTAGAGGAGTCAAGCTATCCTTTGAAGCCTTGGAAGAACCAGCACCAACTCTTGTACTTTCAAATTTCCTCATGACTGATGCGGTCAATCTATTAAGTTCTCTAATGGGTGTAAAATTAACTGACATTTGAAGTGACTTATGAGTAGATCTCTCTTTATCTGCAGTGCTTAATGCAGCAGGCTTATTGCTCATTGGGGTAGCAATATTGTTGTCTCTTTTGAAAGAAATAGGAGCTGTGGATTTGACAGGTGTGGAGGTGAACTTGGAGGTTCCGTTAGCCTTTAACAACATGATGGAAGAAACCGGTGGTTTCTTCTTACCCATTGATGCCAAAACTTCATCATCAAAGTTAGAGCCCTTCTGCAATAACTACCATTATGTCATTGCCATAACCTCAAAAAACCAAAACAACAAAAAGAATCCTGGAAAAAAAAAAATTAACATAATAAATAACCTTCATTATTGGTGTCATAATTGGAGGAGTTTTACTAAGCTTTTCACTTTGCTGTTCCTTCTGAGTATGAACATCTTCAAGCAGGTTTTGCAATTCAACCTTCATTGAGTTCCCAAGACCAGCCATTTGTTCCATCTCTGGTTCAGCTTCCTCTACCTTGTTACTTTCAGGTATAATACTTGCCTCTACATTTAAACTTGAATCATGCTCATTGGCTCTGACCATGATATCTGATTCTGAGGTCAAACTCAAAACCTTTGCATCTTGTTCTTCCTTGACAACCATTTCACTTTTAGGACTTATCTGTGAATCATGCATGATGTTGTCAATTACTCCCACATTTTCTTGTCCTGTGGCATTGTTTTGTGAGGCATTGTTTGCTTGTTCAAGCAAAGCAGCCTTTTGAGCAGCGAGTTTCTTGTAGTGAGCTTCAAAGAAAGCCTTCTTCTGTGCAACTGAACCAGGTCTTGAAAACCTCTCTGCCTCTTCAACATAGCGGTTGTGGGAGAAACTAGACCATTTTTCCCATGCAAGGGACTCAGACATAAACCTCCCAAAAGAGATTGATTGACCAAGTGCATGAATTGGGTTGCTCTGAAAGGCACAAGTTTCATAGTTTTTTCAAGATGAACCTTCATAGAACATAGAAGAAGAAAAAGAGTCTTTTTTTTTTTATTAATTGCACCCAACAAGAAGCCCAAAAAAAAAAGCTTTAATTTGTTATTTTTATGGTAACCCAATTCATCAAAGATTATCAAGCAGCAATAAGCAAAATTCCAAATCCTTTTGAAGGGGCCCTCAAGCCAAAAATTTCAGGTAATTCATTTTGTGAAAGGAGAAATGAACACAAACTGAAAATGCAAATTTCCTCTTTTGTTCACATTCTTTCATACACTACATGCATGAGTGCATAACCAAAGTAAAAGAGTAACCAAAAACAAAAATTATGGGGATTTAAGAACCCAATAACACAAATTTTGGAAGATAGAAGTGACTGTTAAAATGAACTTACCTCGTTGGCTTCATTGGAAATGCCAGAAGCATAACAAAACGGTTGCATGAAACATGTTGAGTCTCCCATGTTTCAGTACAACGTAGAAACCTCAAAAGATCCAAACGTTAACACAATTATTGTTACGTTTTTCTCTTTGTTAGTATTATTATAATTTACTTTATGTGACCGTTTATTTGTACACATTCAAATTTGAAATTCAAAATCTAAAGCCATTGTGTTGGTTGTCTACATGATGATGCAGAAAAGCAAACAACTTTAACAGATTTAAAAAGAAAAAATAAAGTTTTGTGTTGTGTCGTGCAATCTTTTTTACTTTCCGAAGTGTGGGGTCCACTGAGAAAATGTTTGGAGGAGGAGCCTCAATCTTCTTCTCTTTTTTTTCACTTTGGTTTGGGCCCACATTTTGAAGAGAATAAGAAAATCTCCAACGTTCTAATGTTAATATGTTATTGTTGGCTTGTTTGAATTTGGTGAAGCTTTTAATTCGAATTTATGTTTGTTCTGTTCATATTAGGAAAAGGATTCTTTGATATGCATATTTATTATGATAGTAGATTCTTGTGTGTCAATTTCACATTATCTTTTTATTTAAAAATTGGTTATTATTTCTCTTCTTAAAAAATATTAAATAGATAAAAGGCTTAATTAATAATATATGAAGAGAAAAAAATACAAATTTTTTACATTATGAGGTTATGTGAATTTGGTTTTGGTAGATAACAATTGTGTTTAAAATATTAATGGTCCGTGTAATCCGACTTCAAATCTAAATTTATTCACTCTTTCCAAGAATCGAATTTATTATTATTTAAGCATGTCAAATTCTAAAATTTAACTGGAATCAACAATTCTTGAATATTTTACTAAAAATTTGTAGGAGCTAAAAGAATGAAAACAACAATTCCATGACTAATTCTACAAGGACAAAAGGTTTATAAGAGAAAGTAGGTAGTTGTACCATGTTGTATATGGTGGAGATGTAACATGTTGAACAACCAGTAGTTGCAACGTTGCCTAGGCAAAATAATTTGGATCTGGACTCTCTATGTCCATGGTTGGTCAGACTATTATTAAATATATTGAGTTTTGTTTTTATCATGTTACACGACAACAAATCATTTCCTACACACTCATGATATATGTGGAGTCCATTAAATAGTGGAGTGAGAAAAAAAATTAAAGGTGAGACCCAGCTTGAATTGTGTGTGTAGGAAAATTGATTTATTGTCGTGTAACATGACAAACCATTTCCTCAAATATATTTGACAGAAAAAAAAATGAAATTATGCTTGGCTTTATAATTATGGGAAGAATGTACAAAGTTAGATGCGTGCATCAATAACAACATTAAAAAAAAAATTACTATATCAAATGGTGGTAGCTCAATTGACGCATGGGAGCTAAGCAGATGGAGATGAGAGCATGTGTTCGAATCTCCCAAGTACCACCTTTGGGAGGAGTTTAAAGCCTTAATTCTGAACCCGCGCCAAATCGGATTAGTTGCGAAGCAATGAACCGATTGGAATATTTTCAAAAAAAAAAAAAATTACTATTTTTCTTTTTTCTGATTCATAAAGGTTACATAAGGACAACCAATCACAAACTTTCAATGAATTTGACATAACTATTTTAAGTAGAACTTCATGAGATGCAGCCTAAAGTGTATTTTCGCATTTATTTTGATACATTTTCTTGAGACGCAATGTTGAATTAGAAGCATAAATCAGGTAGATTATGGCTATGTTCAAGTCTAACAAATCATTACTAATATACTGTGAAATATATCCAACATTAGAGAATGAGCAAAAATTATTTAATACAAGGCTAGAATGAGTTTGATCTAGGATTTTGTCTAATCATCAAACCCTACTTTCATTTATTTGTGTGATAAAATTAGCTATTGCACTCATTCCACCTTTTCTATTAATGCAAAATTGCAAAATAAGGTGAAAGGGCAATTAAGAACTAAATTAGTTAGTGAATGGTTATCTAGTTTACTTGGATGGACTAGCAACCCAAGGCACCATATGCTTGCAACAATTGATCTATAGAATTGTTGGTTGGTAACGTTGAAGTTTATCATAAATTACATAACCCCATTTTATTACAAAGTGAGTCTTTACAATAAGATTTGAGAGGGATATGATTCTTAAAAAAATTACATCAGAGCACTCAAAAAATGCCTAAAAAAATTTAAAAAAAAATAAGTGCACAGTATTTCACTCACCTATTCTGCTGGATAATACAAGTTGGTTTCAATCTCTTGCTCTACATAGCTAAGATATTATGATTTCTGGGTATAAAATATTACAAGCAATCTCAAATTTAAAGCAGTGGAAGATTGATTTCTCTTTGCAAATTTCTCAATCATTAATATCCATACACACAGTCTCAATTGGGAGGCCTCTTGAAGGGTCAGAAAGGCTGGCTTTGCAGGAATGAAGTCACACAGGCTCACTCAAGAAACATGCCTTTTAACCTTTAATTTTGTTATCCCTGCATGGAAGTCTTAAAATTCTGACCAACCAGCTTTACACCACGAGAAAGAAAAGGAGCACAATGTTTACAGAGGTCTGTCAACACCACCACCACGGCTGTACCGGTCGCGGCCATTCATTTCCATGACTCCTGAATGCAAGCTTCTTCTCCTTCTACTATGGTGCTTTGTTCTTGATCCTCTTCTTCTATGACCTGAATACAGCACAAAAATGACAACCAAGAAACCTATTCCAGAAAATGCCCACAAGAATATCACCCAAAACCTGAAAGAACTAGGCATCTCATCTTTCTGAACACTTGCCAATTCCTCTGAATGATTTGTTACCAATTCTTCTGAATGATTTGTTGAGATATGATTGTTCATTGAATTAGTACTTTCATCAACTTTGCCAAATTCCCTTGAGATTCCACTCTCCTCAGTTCCCTCCTCCCCTTTTGATGTCAACAAGGAATTAGTATTGGAGCACCTTCTCTTGTGATGCAGATTCAGTGCATCATTCAGCGTCTTTGCACATTCTATGCTGAGCAAGTCCCGCTGTAAATTATCGGCATTAGCTTGATCAAGTGTTGAGGGATCTGGTGGATCTGGGAACTTGGCCCAACATCTATTCACCATGTCAATCTCCCTCCAATCTGCTTTGTCAAAGCTCCAATTCCCAACACTGAATCTCAATCCATAATGAAAAACTCTATATTTGACACCCGGTGCGGGAATATATCCCGGATATATCAGTATCTCACTGCTTATAGTATGCCTTAATTTCAACTGCATCAATAACGTTACAGGTTATAGCAGTAGTGAAATTTTTTCATACTTTAAAGTGGAGGTAAGAAATTATGTAGCGTAACAATTCATAATGCAACACTCCATGAAAGAGAAAAACAAACAGCCGAATGATAAGGAATGAAAATTGATGCTCATTTAAATCCACAAATCTGTGTGTCTAGGAACAACTAGACCGAAATGCTTAAGTTAAAAGGGAAAATCCCGGTGCACAAAGCTCCTCTTGTGAGGATAGGGGTGAAAGTCAATTGTATATAACCGTTATATTTTTGCAAACAGGCTGTTTCCAGACTCGAACACCTGACCTTTTAGTCACGAGGAACAACCTTGTTGCTGCTCCGAGGCTCGCCCTCACCCAAATACTTAAGCTATAAAAAGAAAATCCATACCTTGTTACAATGTCATATATCCCTAATACAACCATAGGCAGATCAAAAAAATTCACCTGTTAGTATTTCCCTCTCAAAGGAAGCCCTTTTTGCTTACCACTTGGTCATATAGAAACTCTTAACACCATGTCAAAGACTAACTCTCTCAAACAATGTTCATTGGTCAAGGCTCATTAATAGTTTCAATATATCTAATATGTATCTACAAAGTATCACATTACCTCCTTTTGCACAAAACCATGCAATACCGAAAGAGTAGTCTGCATAGAAAGCTAATAGTACTACTTTAAAATCCTGCCACACCGAAAGTCTACTCACTGCCTTCAACTTTACAGAATGAAAAACTCAAGTAATTGTAATTACACTAAAATAAAAGAATAACTGGTAATGATGATGTGTACCATTTATATTTTATATTTATTATCAAAAAGTTCATATAGATATGATGAACAAATATAAAATTAGTATTCGATATTTTACTGATGTAAGCGTTGCAAATATTGTCCTAATTCAAAGTTTTAGTTTTATGCCTTATTAGATAAATATTTATTCAGATCGTAGGTCACAAGTTTTTTTTTCTCGGAATATTATGTAGTTAGTTTCAATTAAGATCTTTAATAGAAAATGTATATTTCTATTAGAATAAGCAAATAATTAGGATGATAACTAATTTTTTTATGCCTTGGTGATTCATAATTCTTTTATAAAAATATTCTTTTATAAAAATAAAATTAACATTTTTAAAACATAAAGAGACATAAAAAAATTGTATATTTCTATTAGAATAAGCAAATAATTAGGATTATAACTAATATTATGTAGTTAGTTTTTAATAATTATATATTTACATGTATGCCATATCAAAGATTTCTGATTTTGTATAGTATAAAAATTGCAAATTCTCAGCGTCAACTATTGAATACGACTATCATGCAAAAGCCTTTGGACTTGAAACATGACCAATGCAAAAGTTCACATTACCTTGTGCTAAAAAACTATTTAATAATGAAGAATAGGTGTAACAAATATCAAACTCCTAACTACTAGGTCAAAAGGCTCTAATACTATGTTAAATATGAACTCAATATAAAAGCTATTGCTCCTTGGAGATCTTCTCTGGGCACAAACCAAAGCAAGTATATAGTGTCAATCGTGGTGTCTTTCAATCTTAACATAAGAAACATGATATATGCAAAGACGCATGGACCCAAAAAAAAACAAAATACTACGAAGAACATATAGGAGTACATCTCCAAGAAAGAAAGCCTTACGACAAAGCACTGATTTCAATCTTATATAGAAAGAGCTAATGCTAATTTCACAGTGGCTTTTATAGCGGAAGGAGGAAGGTTGGATTTGCTATGCCATCTCAAACAATCAGCTCCCAAACTACAATTACAGCCGCTGGATTAATGGAAAGCGGGAGGTCCCGGCGGGTGGCCGGCCAGGTTTCCTCCTATTTGACCATCTCAATTATTATTGTTTTGAATTTCATGTGAAATTTGAGAAAATTATTTTACAATAGTTGGATTCATCCCCCTTTGCTTTGCTAAATAAAAAGAAGCATTCTAGGTCCATAAAGCAATATATATATATATATATATATATATATATATATATTCTCTTTTCTTCTTCGAATAAGAGGCAATAATAGAATGCACATCAACGAAAAGTACTTCTTTTATTAATAAATTAGGTCTTCGTTGTCCTTTCATAATAGATGGAGCAACTGCCATTCGATAGCAAATCAGTACAATCTTGTGAGCTATATTCACTTACGTATTAGGCATGCTTCGTCAAACCCTGACTATTCCTCTTTCATTGGTTTCTACTTGTCTGTTACTGGTTTATTTATAACCATCCGGAACTCCCCTTGGTCAATTGTCACTGTTAGGATGCCCCCTATTACCCAGGTGCACCACAGGAAGGGATGCAGGGGATTAAACACCTAAATTAATCCAGGAAGTGCGACTAGGGTTTTCGGAGGAAAAAGTTGTTACAATATTTTGAACAAGGGAAGCTTAATAGAACAAAAAAAGGAGAGGGGTGTATATATGCTGAGAATTAAGTAGAGTTTTGGAGAGACCAAAGCCGCTTAAAAGCTTTGAAATTATCCTTTCTTTTTAATATCTACTACTATAACTACACTATACCCATCTGATTCAATCTGATATCAAATTTACAGAGAATATATGAGTTTTTTATCCATCTTGTGTTAAGCTCTTTCTTCTGATTCCTAAGAATTGGTATCAAAGTTCTCGATATGGGAGTGGTGAATGGTGGCCACACGAAGGACGGAAGGAAATGTTGAGGCATTAGAAGAGATAATGACGCTCAAGCTCACAAAACAAAAGTGACATAGGAGGAGATACTACACCTTTTTCAAGGAGCATTCAGAGGAGGTGACCGACAGAAAACAGAGGGAGACATGAGTTGTTGCGGGGTGACCAAGAACTATGGTAGTTCAAATGGTAACCGAAGAACAGGAAGTGGCTATGATGTTGTTCCCAAAACCAGGGACGAAGGAGGAGGGAGACTAGAGATCCCAACCTTTTCCGACGAAGATGCTTACAGTTGGATCAATAGAGTTGAGCGCTACTTCCGTATGAACGTGATGCAAGCTCTAAAAGGAAGAGATTTAAACTGGTACCAATGGTGGGAGGGGAGGACCACTAACGCCACCTAGGCTATGTTTCAAGCAACATTAGTTAGGAGTTTCCAACCTTCATTCGCTAAGAACCCGTATGAAGTCCTACTAAGCTTGTAGAAGACGGGAAATGTGTCAGATTATAGGGAGGAGTTTGAGAACGTCGTAGTAGTCCTACTAAGCTTGTAGAAAACGGGAAATGTGTCAGATTATAGGGAGGAGTTTGAGAACGTCGTAGTTCCACTTCAATATGCATATGAGGAGATGTTGCGTGAGATTTGGATGAATGAGCTCCAAGCAGAACTAAAACTCAACTGACTTGATTTGCTATTGGATTTGATGCATCAACCCAACTAGTTGAAGAAAAGAAACTTACCAATGGCAAAGGAAGAATAAGGATGCAATTCAAAGGTGGGTCAGTGAACCGGAGCTCTAAACCGTTCTGGACGACCACTGAAAGCATAGTGTTTCGAACAAGCATGACTACTGAGGTCCTTAAGGGAAGCTATAATGCACGCAACAATGTGAGCAATGCAACCCATTGAAACTTTCCAAACACAAAGGACACAGAATTCTAGAAGCAATACACACTATAGACTGTCTCAGAAGGGGCTTTGTTTTAATTGTGATGAAAGATTCCACCCAGGGCATTCTATAAATTCAAACAGTTTCATATATTGTAGGAGGAAGAAAGGAAAAATGTCTAGGTAGATGCTCCTCTGAAGAACTCGAGGAGAAGGAACTCCAATTATTTTTGCATAACATGATAGGCATAACTTCGAATTAAGCATTGAAGCTGTGGGGAGAGATAAAAGGGACGAGGGTGATAATCCTCATAGATTGTAGGGCTTCTAGCAACTTCATTGGGAAAGGCATGGCAGGGGAGTTAAAATTGGAAGTCAGTGACACTCCCCAATACTATGTAGAAGTAGGGGATGGGCACAAAATCAAGTGCCAAGGAGTCAATATTAAGCTGCAAGGGATTATGATACAACATTCAAAGTCCAACCATAACACCAATATTCGACAGCATAACCCTTACATAAAACTCTTTTGTTCTACGGTCAAAAGTAGGGAAAAGCATATGATCCATTCAATTAAGCAATAAACACAGAGGCTTTACTTCAATTACCTATGCTAGGACGTAGCTGCAATCAATTGGCCAAGGCAAATAGAAGCTAGAGAAAGAGGAATAGTTAGGGTACAACAAAACACGCCAAATACGTAAGCAATTATAGATTACATGGGTTGTACTGATCCGATTTGGAGCTATTCGGCAACGATTGCTGCATTGATTAACGAGTATGCGGAGTGCCTCATTTACTTAGAAGGGAGAACTCTCCTCTAATGTGTTTTCTACTATTGCCTCCTATCCTGATAAAATGACCGGGATTAAGTTGTATGGTAATACCCATAAAAGCTACAATTTTATTCATTTTCTTTTTTTTAGGCTTTCTGGACCACCAATAAACAGAGTGCTTCTTTCCTATTTGGCAAAGTAAAGGAAAGATAGATCCAACTAGAGAAAAAATACTTTATCAAATTGCATAAGGAATTCAAAATATTGATACTAAGAAGGCCTAAGAGCGAGGAACCTAGGTAGTCTTTTGGGAGCACCTGTCTCCCATCAATCTAGCAATTGTGGCTGCAGCCATGCACCAAATCTTGGACTGCATTCGCGGTTGCGAAAACAGGAGGATGGCCCTCCTCCTTGAGTTGGAGGAGCATAATGTTCAAGCTGCCATAGCAAACCACCCCTTAGATAAATGAGCTTTAGCTCTTTCTATAAGATTAAAATAGAGGGAACTTTAACCAACAATAGTTTGTGCTTTAATATATCTTTCCAATATATCTTAAGTAAGATATTTTTAATTTATATTGTTTTCTTTTTGTGTTTTTTTCATGTATCATGTTTCTCAGTGTATTTAAAAAACAAAATATATATTGACTGGAGTTTAGGCCATCTGGAAAACCAAACCTACTTTCAGTTTGTGCGTTTGTTCTATGTCAGTGTGCTTCACCGGTATGTGTAGAAAAAAACGTCATAATCATATAAGTGAAATGACTTGAACAGAGAAGTGAAAGAAGCTATCACTGAAACTTGAGATTTGCTTGGTTTTTGCCCAGAGTAGATGCAATAGCCAGAGGAGCGAAAGGGTTCAGGTTCATATTCATCCTTGCTCTTTGAAAGAAGGTTTACAAAGCAAGTACTAGCAAGTGAATTAGGACATCTCCCACCAAAAGCCAAAGGAAAGCATCAATTGAAAATGTTGCAGGGCTAAGGGAGCAAGTTCGGAACTGAAACAGGTTGTATCTCTAACACTATGAAACCCATAATCATATAAACAGTGAGTATGCACGACAAGAACGTAAAAACAAAATACCTCTGCTGCACCAAATGAGTAACCATACATCTCACTAATCCACCCAGATTCATATATGTCTCCTGTTATATTTCTTGCATAATGAGCTCTATCAGCTCGAACCTCCTCAGTTTTATGCAGCCATAGCAAAGCGAATTTCCGGAGATCATCTATATGCATAATGATTACACCACCAACCTTGTCGCAAGCCTCAGGATGGCTAGTATGTAATTTTGCAAGCTCATTGTCACAGCCAATAAGGTATCTAGCATGTAAAGATTAAAAGAGATACAAATAAGTCATCATATTGAATATGCAAGATAAAACAGGCATCAAAAGAAAAATATGTTTGTATGCAGCTATGCAAACTGCAGTCATCAACATTGCATTTACATCAACATCAACAGGTCTTGTAAACATTAAGCAAATTCACCAGGCTTACTCATAGGGAGTTGAAACAGGATGGCCTCGAGAAGCTTTGAAATCCCACGGTGTGATTGGGCCTCTCAAAATCATATCAGCATCAAGAATCACTATGAATTCAGCATCAATAGTTACATGATTAAGCCAGTGAAGGACGGCAGCTGGTTTATTAATTGCTGGATACCTAAAACAAAACAGACAGACTATCACGTTTTTAAACTTATAGTCTAAACCATTCAGCAACTTGAAGCATTTAAAAGAGGGAGGCTCTAGTAACGGCACACTATTGAGTTGAGGCACAAGGAATCTTGTATATAATTTAAGCAGGAACGGCAAACATAAGGCAAAGATCATCAGTTTTATAGTATTGAATAAATAAGTGAAGTTTAATGTGGGTCCCACCAAACCCTGAGACTAAACCCATAACATTAATTTTAGGACATCAAAATCAAGCACAATATACAGTTATCAAATAAAGTTGCTCTGGATGTTGATTGTGAAGGGTTCAATTAACTACTTTAATAGGGAAATAATGTTAACTGGATATGTCTGGTATTAAGAGATTAGAGAGCATACTCAAAATAATGATAAAAACAATTCACTTGATTTCCAAGTTAAAAATCACACAGGCTAATTAGCAATTTAAAATAAATTATCATTGACAATGGGATTGAACTCATCAAAATTTCTTTTATGTAAATAAGCTTTGAGAATGATGCAAGAAAAGCTAGTCCTTTGCTCGTTCCATGATTGATATCGCAACTACTAATACCACTTTGTCCAAATCATAGAGTAATGACAAGCAGCTAACTGAAAAAGTTAAAATACAATTGAAAATTGAAAAACATAGACAAATACACAATTACCAATCTCCTGTTAATGGATGCTGACTCATGGAAGGGACATAATGGGTGGGAGCCAGGTCATGGCCTTTATACTGCCTTAAGCCCTCATCAGAGCAGCTAAGAAGTCTAGTGATATTTCCAGGCTGTCCACTTGTACTGAAACTGTGCATAAGGCCTACAGTCTGCCAATCAAAGTACGTGGTGCATTCTGTTGAGAAAACTGTATGGATTTTGGGATATGGCTTTCCAGCATCATGATCAACATGTTCTTCTATGGTATCCTCGATCATTTTTAAAGTCGCAGGAGTAGGATACTTTGGCTTAGTTAGTTCTGCAAAAGCTTTGCTTTTCAAAAAGCTCAAGTATTTGGACCATGCTGGTTTAGGGCAACCATCTGCTGCATGCTGCAATAAAAGACCTTCATTTATAATGTTTATGCACTCTATACTTAGAAATAGTCCTCGCCTTCGATTATGATCAAGTTCCAACTGTATTACCTGCAATAAGATACTTTCCAATTTCAGCAAAACTTGGAAAAACCTGATGTCATATTTATGAGCATAAATTAAGTATATTTGGACTAAAAGACAAAGTTTAAAACGCTTAGTATTAGAAAAACACATGCCATAGGAATATATGCTTGCTTATTAACAAATGATGAAGTATTAGTGTATTCCAAATACAAATGCTTTTCTATAACACAGGAATTCCTTCTCCTAAAAGACTAACGGACCATGGAAAAAAGAGCATATTTTTCTACCACCAGACACAAGTTTCCTCCACTGGTTTACATACCTCCCTGGGAAAAGGAGGTTCTGGAAATAGCCGACCACATTCATAAACAATTCCGTCATCATGGTGAGCCAGTTTATTGAATGACCAATTCCCCACACTAAATGGCAGCCCATAGTGAAGAAGAATCGGCTCAATACCCTCTCGAGGAACATAACCGGGGTAGATCATCAAGTTATCATTGATCTTGTGCCGAAATCCAATCTGTGAACAAGAGGGCGGAAGCAAAAGGGGAAGATAGAAAGAAGAAGGAAACATGAAAAACAATTAGTGAAAGTTGAATAGTCAAGCACTATAATGAAGTGACAGACAGTTAAGACTGCTAAAAAAGAAAGAAAGAAAAAAAATTCAAGGTATTAAACTCACTTCCGCAGCACCAAAAGAGTATCCATACATCTCACTGATCCATCCTTTCCCATAGATGTCACCAGTTATGTTTGTTCCCCAGTGAGCCCTATCTTCCCGTACTTCTTCTGTTTTTGAAAGCCACAAGGGGGCAAAAACTTTCAGGTCATCTATATGAAAGGCCAAAAGCCCACCAACTTTGTCACATAGTTCTGGGTGTTTTGTGTGCAGTTGAGCCAAAATATTGTCACAACCTATTAAGTACCTGGAGAAGGAATTTTGGTATATAGCAAGTTTAAATGGTGACCTAGAGAAAGAAAAACTGAATATATAATACAAGATATATGTACTACGTATTCAAAAAAGAAAAAAAAGATATATGTACTACTTCGAGATTCAATCAAGTTTCATAACTTCAAGCAAAGCTCTCTAGTTTCTGTTTTAACAAAGCCCCTATTCTCTGATTCATAATGTTAAGTGAAGACATTAAGGCCAAGGTAAATATAAAAGGCTTAGGCATCCAAAACTTCCATATTGCTAAAATTTGTTTGCTAAACATAAACTGCACTTTCATTAGCATCCTTCCAAAAATATCTGTAACGGCAGTGATGGATTAATATCTAGCTTTTTATGTTATATCACTAAAAGAAACAAGTAAGAAATTAGTGAATACCCATAATATGCTGCAACAGGTCTTCCTTTCTCTGCACCGAGTTCCCAAGGTACAATTGGGCCTCGGATTATCATGTCTGCATCCAGAATGACAACCCAGTCAACATTTTTTGCATCCTTACTATTTTTGAGCCAGTGTACGACCCCAGCAGGTTTGTTTATCGCAGGGTACCTGCATAGTGGATAGAAAATTTAGTTCTGATTCTGCTATCTTGGGAAAATGATTCTGCTTTTGTAATAAGGTATGCACGTGTCTTATTTGGAAAAGGGACATGTTAAAATCCAAAACACCCTAAAGGGGGATGGATAAGGGAAAGAACAAACACAATGCCAACGCACTAGCAGAAATATTTTCATTATGAAGCAATAGCAGTGAAATTACTTATCCAATACCCTGCACTGAATGGTCACAAGTGCAAGCTCAAAGGTCTTTTACTAATAAGGAAAACTATATATTGTTGACATCAACAAACTTCTTGTCAGCCTCAAAACTCATAACTACCCAGAGAAGCAGAAATCATAGCAACCAAACCAAGACTGTTGTATTGTACACACAAATCCAGAGCTAAATTCACAGAAACAATTCAGCTACCACAGCAACCCACATTATTTGCATACACTATTTCAAGAACTCACAGATCCTCACCCCATATATGCCTAAGAAAAAAAAAAAACAGCAGCAGCAGTTGCTATATAACCACACACAGGAACACATCATGCAGAGAGTTAAAAAAACGTACCAGTAAATAACACAGAACAAATAACACCAAAGTCAATGGCATTAACATCACTTCACAATAAACCACATAAAACCCATCTACATTTCTACATTTCACAATCCAAATTCAATAAACAAAGAACTAAAAAACAAAAAATGATGAATTTTTACTATTATTAGCATATTTTTTTTGTTTTACCAATCACCAGTTCTGGGGTGTCTGCTCATTGAGGGCACCTCAAAAGTTGGTGCCAAATGCATCCCTTTGTAATTCTTCTTCTCCTCATCAGTGCAACTAAGGAGACGTGTGATTGGTCCAGGTTGCTTGGCCTTCCTATAACTGTTCATGAGTCCCACCGTTTGCCAATCGAAGTAGTTCTGACATTCCACAGAGAAGAGGGTGTGGATCCTCCATGGATGCTTCCTTGCCGCTTCAGTAGTTCCAATGCTCACCAGACCCACAATCACCAACACCAACAAAATCGAAACTTTAGCCATCAAAGCTCGATTTCAGGGTCAGATTTCAAATGGGTATTGCCTGAAAGATCTGAATTTCATTTCATGCCTTAGATCTCCACACACAGCTTGTTATCGTTAAGTCAAAATTCAGAGATATCTATATATATATATATATATATATATATACAAATATGTATTTTATACTGTATTTAATAAATAAATAAATAAATAAATAATTACTATGACAAATGAATCTGGAAAGTGTTTGTGTAGTTGGTAATGGGAGTGTGTACATGTTGAATTTCAACATTTGGATTTTTTGTTCTTCTTTCTTTTATGTTTCACTAGCTTCAGTAGCTTACTACGACGAAACGTCGTCGTTTGGTTATATGTTTTGGCCAATTCATATTATTATTGTTTAAGGGAAAAACGTGTATCTTTTTAAAAATTAATGTTTTAGTTAAAATTAGTATTTTTTTATTCAAAATTTAAATTAAAAAATTCCCATTTTTTTCTTATGATTTTTATTGTATATTTATTTCTTTAATTTAAAATAACACAAGTCGATATCTCTTAAAATGATCAATATTTCATATTAGACTATGAAGTGCAGAAAAATAATCTTGTTTGACAGAAATCTCCTCCTAACATTCAGTTATTGTTGCTTGGTGATTTGTCAGCTGTTGGAAGACCTCATGCTTTGAGTTGCAATAGTTATATTTCTTTTTGTGTTTTTTCTTTATTTTATGGCTTAGACTTTTTTGTTTATAATAAAAAAAATGACCAATACTAATCCTATTGTTCAATTATAACACTTTTATATTTAATAATTTTCCTGTACTTCATGAGTTGGCTCTTGCTTTCGCGTATATATTCCATTATTATTTTTCTTTGAAAAATGTTCGCTATACATGATTTGATGAAAAGGAAGGTTAAAAATTTTTACAATTATTTTTTTGAAATACTACTCTCATTTTACATGAGGTAGTTATCTTATTTTCTCTCACTTCAAAAATCACACCTCCTCTTTTTTCTTTTTCTTTTTTATTTTTTAATGGTAGACCTCACTTGGATTCTCTCTATAACATGAGAGAACTATTCGTATGTAAAATGAGATTAATATTCTCCTTATTTTTTTACAAAAGTTTAGATAAAACAAAAAGAATATTTGTATTATTGTTTCATTAACAAATATATTATATTAAATTGCATAAGTCTTTTAAAATTCAATTAAAATTTAAACAGGTATAAATTAAAAGATATTTAAAAATGAAAAGGTAAATATGTATAATTAGATTAAAAGATAAATTAAATTTAAAATCTAAAATAAAAAGGAAAACATAATATAAGTCAATTTATAAGAAAAAAATAATATAAATACTTGAGTCACTCTTAAATAAAAAATTTGATTTAATAAATAAAAAAAAGTAGTTTTTTTAAAAAAAATACAACATATAATTAGATGTTTAATATCACTTTTAATATGAACAATTCCTTTTACCAAAAAAAATATATATATGAAAAATTCCTTAAAATGATCTTAAATTGGCCGTTGAATAGCCCAACATAAAATGATATACTTTTGTGTCCCTGATTTTAAAACAATTATCACTTTGTCCCTCTTTTTAAAATTATATATTAATTTTATCTCTTTTTCTAAACTACATATCAATTTACCTCATTTGATCCGACGTTGATCGACAGTTATTTGAGTAACTGGCCTAGTTAATTACTCGAGTAACTGTCGGTCAGAGGCTTATACTTGAGCTTCACTCACATTTTCTTTATCCACAATTTTTATCACAAATTCCCACTCGATTTTCTTCTTTCTTCCAACCCAATAATTTGAATTTCACCCTACCATCCCAAATCTTTACCATTATCAAATCATTGACATTACCCTTATATTTTTGAGTTTTTGTACAAAAATTCGAACCCATCTCTAAACCTTAATCCATGGCAAAGATGAGCTGAAGTTCCAAACATGTGTTGCAATTGTCTACTACAGTGGTAGGCAATTTGAACGTCCTAATGATTTAATTTTTGAAGGTCAAAGAAAAAAACAATGTGGATTAAACGCGACACTACATACAACCATCTCAAGAGGTGAATTAAACAAAAATTGGCCTCCAAGGCAACTAATGCGTTTCTCGCTTGATAGTCATGTACCAGACTTCAAAGGGTGCTACCTTGGTAATGGTGTCAATGACAATGAATATATGGATTGTATGATCAGTGCATATCTTGGCCAGAATGGAGAAAATATTATTGAGATTTATGCAAAAGTTGACTCTGGTCAGCCATCTTCTTTACCCATTTAGTCGATGTAGATGAGCAAGAGTGTAAGAATCTGCACCGTTAATTAAGGAAATTAATTAATTAAATATGATAAATTAGGAAATAATTTCATAATTGACCCTAATAATTATTATGAGGCTCTAATAAATATAGTAAGTGATTAAGAATGCTGAAAGTCGTTTTTCTGACGAAAAGTGCAGATACCGATTCTGCTACTCGGTATAAATGTGTACCGAAAAGTATCCCGATAAATTATAATGAGTGCATGATAATTCCTAGAATAATATATAGGACTTGTAAAACAAGTTTCAATTTAAAATAATGAGAACTGGTGCCAGAAACTGATACTAGCTATGAAAAGCGCGTACCGAAAAGGTGCTGCGAAAAATATAAGAAAAATATGATAATTCTTGTAAAATTGAGTAGGTTAAGAATCCTGAGTTTGGGACTAAAATGCTAAGCGTAGCAATTAATGTTAATACTATGGGTTAAAGGCTTAAGTGGGCTATATATACTTATTCTTTGGGCACAAAACCCTAGAGATTCTGATCCTACGTGAGTTGTTGGTGGCTGGTCAGCTGGTGCTTGGGTTCATGGCCTTTCTTCACCATTTTTGTGACCAAGTTGTCACCTTTGCTCCTTTGCTTTATCTCTTCACCTATAAACACCATTGTTTTGTGTGGGTTGGTCTTGTGAGGTTGTGAGTGACTTCCTTGCTGAGTTGTAGCCTCTGGTTGAGTGTGTGGAGGTGCTGACTTTGAGGGTTGGCTTGTGGGAGCTTGGGGTTGGCATTTTGAGCTTCAAAGTGTGATCCTTGTAGAGAAAGAACTCATCTTGTGTGGTATTTTCGTGTGCCTTGTTAGTCAGAACTGTAGAGGCAGTATGGTGAGCTCCAAGAGCCTTTCTTGCTGAGTTTTGAGCTTTGGTAAGTGTCACCAACCTTGATCATGAGTTTAATGGGTTAAAGTTGATATTTTGGTATGTTTAATGAGTTAAACAAGTAACCCACTGGTATGTGAACTTAAAACAGAGTAAAGATGCATGCTTTAACGTTTGGAAGTGTTAAAAGTGGAACCTTTGAAGGATATCTTCACGAAATGCAGAACTGCATTCTGTCGTGAAATATCCGAATATGGATATTCGGATATTGGTATCCGGATATAGGGTCTTCTGATATCCGGATATGATATCCGGATATGTTCCCGACAAATATCCGGATATTCTGGGTTTGCGAGGAACAGTAGCTTACTGTTCATCCAGAACTGATGTTTGGGGGTTCGTGGACCCTAGATTGAGGAAGTTGAACTTCTGTAATAATTGAACTAAGTCAGAATCAAGTGATTAAGGGCTTATGGCTTGTGTGAAGCCTTAAGACCTAAAACGTAAGGAAAGGCGTCGTCTTTATGTTGTATGCTTGTAGAATATGATTGTTGATATATTATTGGTCCATAACAGATTGTGATTTTGCTGTGTTTGGACTTTGAGCTGTGGACTCTTGGCTTGGATTGTTAGCTTGCAAGGTAAGCTTTTGTGTCCTCGGTTTAGCCATGTTGTGGTTCCACCATGTCCCATGGGGATATGGTTATATGCATGCTGTGTTACATGCTTTGATATATTGAAATGCTTTTGAGTTTATATTGTGCAATGGCTTATGATATGTATGTGGTGTTCATCCGATGGGACGGTATCCAAAGGGTAGGTACGACAGGGCGCGTACTGTGTGGGTAATAGACGTATTCCTACATTTCTCTGGCCAGTAGATTATTGTATTGACACACATGACATGATTATCTGTTGCATTGCACTATTTTGGAAATGATAATGTTAAACTGTTTTGAACTTATATTGCACATGTAAGTGAGCTTGGGGTGGAAGATCCTTGAGGACCCCTTGCCTTACTGAGATTTCTTGTTAGAGATCTCACCTCACGTTTGGGGCGCTTTTTTCAGGTTCAGGTAGTATGAGGGCTGATGCCTCTGGCGGCAGGAGGCCAAAGCTTAGTTGATGATATTGCTATTTATTATGCTGACATGTTAGATGCTGGATATTCTGCTGATGTTATGTTTTTAGTTGCTTATTATTATGTTGTTGATGTTAAGATTTATGTTGGGCTTGATGCCTTATTCGGGTGAGCATGTGGTTTGTCCATGGCACTTTATGTTAGTACCTTGAGTTGTATAACTTAGTAGGTTGTCTGGTCTACGTGTTGTAGTTCCGTGACTAGAGACTTATATCTGTTATTTTAATTATGAGGTATTTCAGTTAACTGTCTTTTGCATTTTACATACAGGCATGGTTTTTATTTAAGTGAGTAATTAACTAAGTTGGTAATGATAATGACGTCATAAATAAAAAAAAAAGATATTCCGCATTTTAATTAAGCGCAGCATAATACGATAATATAATAACATTACCGGATATATACAAGGTGTTACAAAGAGCGATATTGTAGTCACGAAGACATATTTGTCCAGCGTTATGCACCTCCACTAATGTTAAGTCAATTCAGATCAAGGAATTAAGAAGATGATGATTCTTCGAATATGGACAATGATGAGGAGGCGGTAAAGTGGTAAAATTTAATAGGTACGGTATGCTATGTTTTGTAAGAATTTACTAGTGCCATATATAGCAATACTCATTTGAGCAATCTATCTGTCCTTAAATTTTTTTATAGTGAAAAGTATTTCTCCCTAGTTACCGGAGATAAAGTTATTTCTAGTGAGTTCAAAACGATGTCGTTTTGGGTTATAAGATTAAAAAATTATAATGACAAAGACTAATATAACCCTGCAATATATTATAATTAAAAAAACATCTTGATTTTCGTCTCAAAACGACGTAATTTTGAGCTCACTGGAGATAACTTTATCTCCGGTGACTGGATAAATCATTTACCCTTTTTTATATAACCAAAAAAAAAAAAAAAACCCCCGTTGACCATAGGTCCAAATCCAAGCCAGTAACGCCAATTTGAAGCATTATTCCGTCGTGGATCTCATGTTCCATGTTAATTGCTTACACAGATTGATAAATGTAAAGTTATGAGGTTCATTCTACAGCAATAATTTTTCTGTGCTTAGCACGACCCACTCCCATTCCCAATATTCTAATTTCAAATGTAAACTAATAAAATATATAAAGCTAGCCGCTGCATGTATATTATAAAGTTGCACTGGTTGTTAACTTTTACCAACATATTTTTAATTAAGGAGGTTTAAGGGCATATAATTTGGCTACTTTATCCTCTCATAAAAGGAGTTGGATTAGCGATCCTTTCATCAATTTTGCATAACTGTCAAATTTTATCCTCTGTCCATGTCAAATTCTAAAAAGTTTAGAATTAGCTAGTGCCAAGGACTAACTAGTCTCAATGTGACTTCGCCACTGATCGACCCTGTCAATTTCTCCATGAGTTCACAAAACTAATCGTATGAATAACGGTGGAGTCCCGGAGGATTGTCTCTCCTAATTATTTCTCATGTATGAAAAAAAACATAAAAGAGTTCTTCAAATTTGGTTATGTACCTACTAGGAGTGTAAATGGGCTAGACCGGCCTAAAGGAGCCTACGGCCTAACATATTACAAATAGTAAAATAGAACAGACTTAGATTTTTAAAAAAACCTATTTAGAAAACAGGCCATAGACCTTTTTATACATATTGGGCCTATAAGTCTACAGGCCGGCCAATATCATATTATTTAATTTTAAATAAAATGAATAAAATTATTATTTTAATGATTTTAAATAATAAAGTAATATTATTTTAATTATTCTTTTAATTGTTGAATGTTTAATATGTTTAAACAGGCTAATAGACATAGGTCAAGACTTTTATTTTTTAAATATAAGTCAAGTCAGATTTATAATTTGGGGTCTACAAAAGCTAAGAGGCCAAATCCAATGTTTTTTACGCAAGCTTGACCTATTTAAACCAAAACCTACTTTAACCTAACCTGTTTACCGGGAAGGATATACTTACCACCAAAAAAAGTTTATAACCTTTACAACCAACTTAATCACCGCTGATTTTCGCCAATATAACGATCATAATTTATTGGAAATTATTGGATCATATTTATTAATTAATTATTAATTTTTAATAAATTATAACTGTTAGATTGACGAAAATTAATAGAGATTAAATTAATTGTAAAGATAATAAATTTTTTTAATGATAAGTATATCCTGATCCTTACCCTCCTGGTATCTACCCAATATAAATTAGCATGAATTTTGAATTCTTTGCTCCCTCAAACAAAATTTTCTTACACGTTAAATTTAAGAGTCAAGCCCGTTGACATCAACGTTCAGCCCCACATGTTAGCCCAGCGCTTAATTTTTGGGGTGTGCATACGGAGATGGATAAAATAAAATAAAATTGTGCCTTAACTACCACTATATCTTTCATAGTGATAAGTAGGGGTGTTAACGGGTCGAGCCGAGCCGAGTTTTGGTTTTAAGAGATTAAGCTTGTGTTTAAATGTGTCAGTCTGACCAAGCTTGTTAGCTGTTATGAATATAATTATCGGCCTGTGGCCTGACTTATTTACAAAAAATAAAAGTCTTGTTTAGCCTGTTTTAAAAAAATAAGACAATAAAAATTTATTCAAATAAAATATACAATCAACAACATTAGTAATTTCATAAATATTCATAAATTCAATGTATATCCAAACAACATAGTATAAAACAAAATCATTCAAAAAGTCTGTTTAACCAATAAAATGATATGAAATGGATTGAGGAGAAAGAGAGGGTTATTACAAATAGTATAAAAAGTATAAAATAAAAATAAAAATTAATATACTAGGCCAGCCTGAGAGACTTTAAAACTGAGCTTTTGAATTGGAGCCTAAGACCTTTTTATTAAACGAACTTTTATACAAGTCCAGGCCCTGGTTCCAACAACCAATTTTAGACATATAAGCTCAGGTTTTCATGAGCTGAGCCAAATACGCCTTATTTGTTTATCACTGCAGGTGATAATCACTTTTATCCTAACAAAAGGAATCAAGGGAAGAATAAAAATGATTGATCATAACAAGCAGCAAAAAGAGACCAAGAGGAAACCTTGGACACTTCATGATGATGTGTGTGACTACTTTACTAAAACCAACAGTTATAGGGGAGACAAGAAAAAGTGATGATCTTATCAACTCTGCATTTTTCAGCCCCACATTGAGTTGGCTTGTGGGGTGTTGTTGAGGAGCTCAATCCAAATGGTGAAGGAACAAGCAATTATAAATATCCATTTCCCATTCAACAATATAGAATCATCATCACATTAACATAATTAAAATTAATTTAGGGGTATTGTGGGGAAGAAAATGCATGGATGGAAGAGGCAATATTCTTTAGATAATCTTTTATAACATGTCATAGCTTGAAAGATTGTAAAAATAGAGGTAGTTTTAAGGGGTGGTTATGCTTGTTTATTGCCTATTTTCCATGAAGAAAATATCCTTTTCAAGAGGACTGAAGCTATCCCATGAGAGAATGGAGTCCAAATCATCAACCCATTGCTGTAAGGATTTTTCCTGAAGGAAAGAGGATTCACCTATAGAAAGGTTGCTAGAATCATCCAGAGAGAAAGAAGAACTACAACAAGAACTAGTATTGGTTTTGGTTTCTTGACTCATCCACAATCCCATGTCCAACTGTGAGCATAGCATTTCATTATTGTTTAAAACTCCAGTGGTATCATCCCAATTCACCTTGTTTTCTTCTCTTTTCTCTTCTGTTTTTGGCATTTCTTCTATGCCATGAATGTCCAAGAACTTATTCTCCACACCTTCTTCACACCCTTCTGAAGTATTTTGCATTAGGCCTGTCTTATTTTTGTCATCATCAGAATTTTCCTTTTGCTCAATTGGCTTCTGGATCATCATAGGGTCCAGACCAAGGAGCTTCAACCTCTTCTTGATTCTTGTGTTCCAATGGTTCTTGATTTCATTGTCAGTCCTCCCTGGAAAATGTGTAGCAATCTTAGACCACCTGAAAATGTGCTTTATTATGTTAGAGGAAATTAGTATCCACTCACATCATGTCAAAGGCTTCATCACATACACAATGTACAAAAATCATGCCATTTTTTCTAGTGCATGTAAGTGACAATTCAAAAACATGTACTATACCTATTACCAAGTCTTGAATGTAGTTCTATTATTTGATCCTCTTCCATTTCTGTAAATCCACCTCTCTTGAGGTCTGGCCTCAGATAATTAATCCATCTCAATCTGCAGCTCTTTCCACATCTTAGCAAACCTTTTCACCAACATGTAAAATAAAAAAAATGCACTAGGTTTGATACCCCTCTAAGGCAAAGTCATCAACTTAAGAGTTATATTACATGAACAGAATTTTCAGAAAAAATACCTGCAAGCTTTGGAACTGTTCTCCAACAGTGGATACCATTGTTGAGGATGAAATTCATAAGCTTATGATCTTCCTCAATTGTCCATGGACCTCTCTTCAAACCAACCTTATCACAACAAGGTTGCCTTCCCATTTTGGAAACTTTACCTTTGCTAAATCAAGATATCCCTTGCCCTTGAGAGTTAACAAGTGTAACATCAAATAAGGGTACTTAAAAAAGGAGGTTAAGGTTCAAACAAAGATGCTGCCAGTTCATTCAGACATTTAAATAAAAACAATATGTCCTTTGTGTGGGGTGATAAATGATTGGATAGAAAGCACTTTGAATTGAAAGCTAGAAAAAGCATGTAGGGAAATGTCATTATAAAATGGTTGTCACCACTCACCACTCTTGTTTAGACAATAGAAAGAGTTTATGTTCAACAACAAAGTTTTTTCAGGGGGAAGAAAGAACCAAATGTGAGTCCACCTTGTTGACAAATTTCATTATTTGGTACCAAAATCTTCACTTATTGATAGCATTCCAAGTAAGCAACATAAAAATATTAAGTTTGATGGGATTCCCTCGTCCCCAAAAAGCTGGCACGCTTTGTCGTTATAGGCAACCCTCATTTCATCTTTCAGGATACTTCAACATTATGTTTTAGTTGTCATGAAATTCAACCATTATGTGCAAGTGAATTGGTAATGAATAAGACACATCAAAACTATACTAGCCAATCAAATTTTGAAGTTGGAAAGGGAAATGGGTATGCATAAATTTAAGTTAGATGGATGTTAATTTTAAATTATTAAGAATGGGGGTTGACGTTAGATGTAACGAATTGTCCGTAAAAGAAAATAACAATATTTATAAGGTGAATCATTTGGCACCGACCCTAACTAGTTTGTGATAAATGTTTGATGATATTGATGATGATCATAAAATGGTGTTAGTAAATAGTTATGTGGTGTGATATCTATGTTGCTGTACCATGTGTTTCACCGATGGTTAAAACTAGATATAAGTGATCAATAATGGTGAGACTGAGAAATAAGGTACTTGCTGTACCATTTTGTACACATGAACACGTTGTAAAATGTCAAAACTACAGAGTTGGTTTACCAAAAGTGCTAAATAGTTAATGTGCATTGCTTTAGGTAAGCTTTTGACCAATGATTTGGTATGATTAAAAGGGATCAAAGACCCTAAAATGAGCAAAAAAGAACAAACCTTGGAGGCCCTTGGAAGAATTAATTAATTCAGAACCCACTATTCTCCTATGTAGGAGACCTTAGGGTCACTAACATATTATTAAACTTAAATGAGTGTTTATACAAAATTATAAATGCAAACATTTTGTCGTTAGCAAAGAGAGGCATACATTGATTAATGAAAAAGAACATAAATTGATTAATGGTTCATCTCTTCCAATATATGTTGGTTTTACATTCTCTATAATGCAAAATGACGTTTGCGAAAAATTAAAATAAAAAATGGGTTTTATAAGAGTTATGTTGTAGGAAAAATGATTGTGTAATGTTATAGAGATTCTTTTTGCGTGCCTTAGTTTTTTTTTTTTTTTTTGCTTCAAAAAGTGCGGATCCCACAAAATGTTATGTGTGTAGGAAACTTTTTTGTGTCATGTGACATAATAGGTGCAAACCTCCATAAAAAATACCTTCCTTCAAATGCTCTTGGAATTCGTGCAAAAAGCATTTGCATAATGAATCTTGTAGGAAATTTAATTCCTTATATGTTATCATATCGAATAACTTTGAATTCAATTATTGTTTTCTTATCTTTAATAAAAAAAAAGCTAACACAAGATAAATAAATATATGTATTGTCTCATTACAAATTCAAAGGATTCATGAGTTTCCGTAATTTATATTAATTAGTACAAGGTACTTTTTCTATTAAACATTTATATGGAAATAGATCATCTCATATCTTATTTTAATATAATTATGTCATGTAAATTTTTATTTTATTTTTTCGATAAATTTTCATGTAATGTATGTAAAAAAAATTAATCATTCATTGATATATCAAATATAAATAATTAAAATAATTATTTTCTGTATTCTATTTCATAAGTTTTGTCATTGAAATTCGTAAACCTCAAAAAATGACTGAAATTTCTCATATAATGTGATTATGCTACTACTAAATGAAAGGATAATCAATCATCACATTTTGAGGGTAACAAAGCATTTACGGTTAATTTTATTGGTTGACTTTGTGAGTTTGAAAATTCAACATCTTCCGACAGTTTAAATGGCTGAAATGGTGCCTACCTCGTTTTTTTTTTTCTTTGGTATATACCTGCGTCGTATTTCGAAACATAGGTAGACTCTATAAGTGAAACAACAAAATGGTGGTTTGCTTATATATAATAAGCGATTAATGTTTGTTATATTGTAGGGGATAATTTTATCTTTTATATATACATAAAAGTGTGTGAGATTCATATTTTCTTTTTCTCTTCACATAATCTCACATAAGCTCTACATATTTTTATGTGTGTATAGGAGATAATTTTACCTGCTATAATATGAGAAACACTAATCTCATTTAATAATAATACAAAAGATTTTGGAATATCTTCCATTTTATTATACTTACATTCATTTGTACGTACATGCATCTACCTAAAGCACAATTAGGTATATTAAAAGAAAGAAAAAATGCTCCATCATTTGTTTGGTTCATGCACTGAAAATAATAATATACCCTTTTAATAATCTCTCTGCGATTGCGACCCACGATGGTCATCTTTTACATTTGTATAGAGCATGAACTAGAATTTTTAATAATTTGTTAATAAAAAATGCAATAATAGTGTTTTAATTTAATATTTAATTTTATAATTTGATTAAATTATTTTGTCGTTAAATATATATAAAGAGTTTTATTTAGTTATAAATTTGAATTCAATTCATTGCCTCTAAAAACATAATTAATATCATTCTCAAATATTTCATAAATCAAAATTGAGTTAAGAAAATGGCTCTATTTCTTACTAAACCGAACTTGATATACCTCCCAGCCTTATATTTTGGACCAATGACCTGCTTAAGTAAAGAAGCATTGATGTTTGGCATGACTAAATGCAAACATATTCCACAATGATTTTGTTTTCGGGTATATATAAAAACTTTTGTATTTGTCATGCTTATGTGAATTAATTTTCCTTCAATTAGAAGTCTTAGCTTTGATTGTATCTTACTCTAGTTATATTATTGTAGCTTTTGGTAGATGTGTTGGAATAGAAATGAATGTAATAATTGGATTCTATTTTATGTTTGATGCATTTTAAAATAAACACAAAAAGGATATGAAAATAAGTCACTATGATTCATCTAATTGTGAGGGATTTGAGTGGTTTGCATTGTTCAAACCTCACTGCCATATTTATGGTGAGGTTGAGTAGTCTTCTTATAAGGAAAAATTGTTGAGGATAATCTTTTCTGGAGAATCTCTAGTAGTACGTCATTGGACCTATTTTTATTAATGGTTCGTTTTTTCTGCAGTTACTGCAGATAAGTTATCTACAGTAAGTCCAATACGATGTCGTTTTGGGACGGAAATCATGGTATATTTGTAATTTTAATTTATTTCAGAGTTATAATAGTCTTTGTATTTATAATTTTTTAAAATTTCAATACCAAAACGACGTCGTTTTGGAAAAAATGCAGATAACTTATCTGCAATAACTGCAGAAATATTTTTCCCTTTTATTAATTACTATTGTTTTAACAAAGATTTTGCAACTGCAAACTGAATTAATATTTATCATTAAAAATATTTCAATGGAGTCACTAATTTCCTCGCATGTTTGGGCTTAATTATTTTGAAAAATTAATATAATTCTAAAAATGGTGGAAAAATAGAGTGATATCAAAGGGTGTAAATAGGTTGAGTTGAATTAGACTTTTGCCTATATAAATTAGGACTATGTAAGATATTTTGAGTCTAACTTAGTGTATTAATTATTTATATGCTAAATTATAACTTTAGTTTAGCCAATGTTTTTAAATCACAAGCTTGGTTTGACTTATGTTTATAAATTAAAAGGCCTAATCTACACCTCTTAGCCTATTTGAACCTATTAGACATTTAAAAATATTTCAAGATTAGAAAAAAAAATTAAAATATAATAGTTTATTAACTAAAATTATTTTAATGATAATTTTATTTAAATAAATATGATATAGGCCGGTATTATAAAAAAAATTATTTTGCCTGTTTACTAAAAAAAGACTATTTTAAAGATTTGAATCTATTCTATTTTACTAAATATATTAAGTTCGGCCTAGTCTACATGTCTGGCCTGACCTGACATAGGCCAAGCCATAACCCGCTATGGGACTTCACCACTTCCCACACTTAAATATTTTCATCACACCTCTTTAAGTGTAAGTCCCAACATCATGCTCCCACTAAAGACAACTTCGGCGAAAGTATCTTCTCTTTAAGTATTATAGTCACACTAACCTCTTGTAAAGGCTTCCAAATACTTGGCCTAGCTAAACCATTGTCTCTGATACCACTGTTGAAAAGATACAAATGAGCACAAAATTCTTTGCAAATGATACCTTCACCACTAGGGCAAATGACAAATCACAATGAATGAGCTAATGCCATATCTCAACCTAAAATCCTTAAGGCTATGAGTCAATGAGTTTTTTGTACTTATATGATCTTTACATGGTTCATTTCTAACCGATGCAGGACTTATTATTACTTACACTTGAATATTTTCAACAATAACAACAATTAAACCACATTTTTCTTTAAGATTATTGGTGTCTTGCCAGAAAAATAGAAATAGAATGATAAATTAGATTCAAGCACAGAGATCTTGTAAGTAGACAACAATTGATTGTTCTCTTATTATTAATAATAATAATAATAATAAATAAATAAATAAATTATAGAGTTAACATTACACAGCTAGAAAAAATTAGCCAGAATTTTGACAGAACTCAGATTCAAGTGTATTTGTCGAATGGATATGGTAGGAACCCCTCACCTATCCAAAAGTCACAAATCATTCAGTAAAAAATTATGACCAAAAAAGTTGTGGCTATCTAGCATTTTTCTAAATGATATTAGAAAACATTTATGTCGTAAATGTACATTTTTATAGCCTTCAATTAACATTAACTACCGCAATGCATTTATAGTGATTATAATTTACTTAATTTTATACTTGCATAAAAGATTGTTAACATGATAAATATAATATCCCAAACTTAAGCATTTAATTGATTAATTTTAATTAAATAATTAAGCATGTTTTAGTGAGTAAAATTAAGTAAAAGACTTAATTAAATGAATCTGAGTCACTTAGAGTTAAAAAGTGTACTCAGTGAAAATTAAGGGGTATAAATGGGTACTGGCGAAAGTACCCAAAATATAAAAATAAAAATAGTAATATTCCTAGAATAATATTCCAGACTTTTGGGTAAAGTTTGGTAATTAATGGAGTTGAATAGATAGACGAACCAATACCCGCTTAAAGTCACTTAACCTATGTTAAGTGACTAAAGAACAAAGAAGAACCCATTTCCCCCCATTGCCCGTCGACAGCAAACAGAAAGGAGGAGAAGAGAAGAGAGGGAGAAGAGAGGAAGAAGGAGGGAAAACCTAGTGGGAGCAAATCCCAACCGTTTTGGGTGATTCAAAAGCCTAAACTACTCTAAATCTTCCCCTCTTTCATAATCCTAGCTTGGTTTTGAGTGGGAGTCCTTGTGGAGAGAGATATTGGTCCCCAAAGATTCGCCCCTTTTGAGAAGTGTGGGGTTTTGGGAGTTTCTACCTCCATGGAAGCTTGAGGAACACTCATTCCTCTATTGTGTGATCATTGGTGGTAAGTTTCCACTCTCTTTCACATGATTCTTGGAGATTTGCATGAGTTTAGGGTTAATGAATAGTGTTTTAGGGTTTTTATGAAATGTTGAGTAGATTGGCTATGTTCAAGGAAGAATGAGGCTTAGAGTATGTTGTGAAAAATGCTAGGAATGACATTTAATCGGTAGAAATGAGTTTATAGTGTTATTTTAGTATGCTTTGATGTTTGGAGAAATCTAGGCTTGGAACTATGGATTTCCTTGCATTGTTAGCATTGTTTGATTGTATTCCTTGTGTTGATAGGATTGAGGCAAGAGGACCAAGTGGAGTGACCAACCCTTGGGGTTGTGTGCAATTGAGGAAAGCTCAAAGAGCAAGGTAAACCTTTGGACCTTGTGGTTGATCCCATTGAGTGTTCCACCATACTCCGTTGAGGAGAAATGGTTTATGAGATGTGATATGTAATTATGATAGTGATTGTATGCTCATGCATTGATTCATGCATTGATACATGTTATGATTGATTGATGATTATTGGTTGATGTTTGATTGTTTAAGAGTAATTGAGGAATGATTATAGAAGTAGCAATAATGAATGAGGTAATGGTTGAGGATTGTGATTGAGGTTATGAGTGATAGTATTATGATGAGGATGATTGGTAGGAACTTCCCTTGGAAACAGCCCTATGTGGATCTCCATGTGGTTAGAGCCTAAGAGGAACAGCCCTATGTGGATCCCTCTTGGAGGTTCCTAGATTGAGGAAAGGACTTCCCTTGGAAACAGCCCTAGGTGGATCTCCATGTGGTAAGAGCCTAAGAGAAATAGCCCTTTGAGGATCTCTCTTTGAATAGATTAAGGAAAGGACTTCCCTTGGAAACAGCCCTATGTGGATCTCCATGTGGTAAGAGCCTAAGAGAAACAGCCCTTAGTGGATCTCTCTTGGAAGTCCATGTGATGCTTGCTGATAAGAATGTGTTAAGCTATTATGATTATGTGTACATCAAAGTGAACCTTAGGGTGGAGTGATCTCCAAGGACCTCTGGTTTACTGTGATATATTCGTATATCTCACCCCGTGTTGTGGGGCATCATTTCAGGTACTGATAGAGGTGAGGTTGATCGAGGCAAGAAGCATGAGTAGACTGTACCTGATAGCTGGACATGTTGAGTTGCATGCCATTTAGCATTGCTATATGTATATTTTGATGTCATATGATGTATTTTGGAGGACTTAGTGCATGATCATTGTAGTAGTAATGGGTATCTGATACATGGTTACTTGCTTTGATCATGTTCATTTTGTAGCTAAGTCCTTTGGCATGTATATGAGATTTGTAATTAAGACATGATGTAATATTGTAAGTAATGAAGATATTTGTGTATGATGATTACTGTAAGTTAAATGCATGAATGTATTTTTATGTATTGGATATGTTGAGCTGGAAAGTCAATTAGGTACCTTGTGCTAAGTTGGGAAACGTTGAGAAAACAAAGGTTATGCTGCCCAATTTCCGTTAAATCAATGATGAGAGGATGAGAGTTAAGCAATGATATAGGGATATCACAAGCTTGTTAAATAGGTTGTAAAATGTGTAGGATTGATTCCCCAAGAAAGATACATGAAAAATATGAGTATAGGAAATTGCCCAGAAGAGGGGGCTTAAGCCTGCAAATGGAGGCTTAAGCCTGCTCAGGGGGCTTAAGCGCCCAGGAGGGGGCTTAAGCGCCCTGATGCACCTGTGAAGACCAAAAGCTTTCTGCCGCCTGGGGCTTTAGCGCCCAAAATGGGGGCTTAAGCGCCCAGGTAGCGCGCTTAAGCGCCCTGGAGCGAGCTTAAGCGCCCTTGGTGGCTAAAAATGTAAATTCCCTCTGTCTGTGGGCGCTTAAGCTCCCTGGAGCGCGCTTAAGCGCCCTGCCCGCGTAGTTTTTCAGCATACACCTAAGTTAGTAAAATTGTCATAACTTGAGCTACAGGGCTCCAAATGAGGAGCGGTTTGAAACCACGAGTAGCTAACGAAGAGATCTACAACATAGTAGAAGTTGGGAAATAAATAAGAAGTAAATTAATGGTTTAAAAATGGAATAAGAACATGATGTTAAGCTTGGTTTATCTGATTCCGCAAAGTAATATGGTTATGATCACACAATTGGATATTTTAAATTCGGCGTCGTTTTAAAAAGAAAAATTTATCCGGATTTTTAATTGAGCCAATGTGATTGTAACTGCGCTTAATATCATAATGCGATGTTAACAAACCGGTTCTAGAACGGGGTGTTACATTTTATGGTATCAGAGCAGTTTCGTCGGGAATAACTGTTAGCTATTGTTGAGTATGCTTAGTGTTTGATGCTTTATAGTTGTTTTAGTACTCTTGATGATTATTGCATTTGTGATCACTAAGTGTGGGCCTGATCAACTCACTTCTTTGTGTAACATGTGTAGTGACCTGACGAGGCACCGAAACAACCCCGGACCATCAAACACCAATGCTCAGCCAGAACCTGTTTTGGCTGCTCTTGTGAGGCCCAGAAGTGGCCGTGGGGCAACGGGCGTACCGCCTGATCCCGTGGCTGAAGCTCTTGCAGCCGTTCAGAGAGAGTTAGCTGCTAGCAGGCAAGCCAATGAAAATTTGTTAAAGACAAATGAAGACTCGCGGACTGCTATGGCCGCGATGATGACCGAGTTGAGGACGTTGAGGGATCCTAGGCCCGTGAACCGGCAACCCACTCCTCCTCCTCACACTGCTACGCCTTCTCCACCTCCTTCACAGGAAGAGGGTGTAGCGGGTAACAATGAAGGTGAGGCTAGCCACCATTCTGATAGTCATAGCCATCACATTGAGGTTCGTCAACCACGTGTTGAGCGTGTTGACGAGCATGAAGCTGAAGAAAGAAGATTGATGGCTTTCCAAAACACAAACCTCCTTCTTTTAAGGGAGGTTATGAGCCAATGGCGGCTGCGAAATGGCTCCAAGCTATGGAGAAGATATTCAGGGTGATGAGATGCCCTGATGCAATGAAGTTGGCCTACTGTGTTTATATGCTGGAAGAGGAAGCGGAAGATTGGTGGACCAATACCGTGCAGCCATTAGAAGCTGAAGGCCGGGAAATCACCTGGCGGTTGTTCGAGACGTTGTTCTTGGATAACTACTTCCCTAGGGAGGCTAGGGAACAGAAACAGAATGAGTATAACGATCTCAAGCAAGGGTCGATGACAATTGACCAATATTTCGCCAAGTTCAATGAATTGGTGAAATATGCTAACTATGGGAGAGCCTTACCCATTCCGGCCGAGATGATCTCTAAATTTCAATGGGGTCTAAATGAGAAGATGTCTCGAAAGATGTCAAATTGTGACATCCGAGAGTTTAGTAGATTCGTGAACCAATGCCGGAAGGTGGAAGAAGTTTATGGTGTGCCGAAAAGTAAGAAGTCTTCCGAGGCACAAGCATCTGGTGCTAGTGGAGCAATTGGCTCTACTTCAGAAAAGGGTAAGAAGATGGATGACAGGAATATTAAAGAAAGATTACAAGCTAAACAATCTGAGGAAAAGTTTAAGAGAAGCGGGAGTCAACAGAGTTGGGACAATGAAAGACCTCTTGTGCCCCAGTGTGACAACTGTGGGAGGCATCACAAGGGCGTTTGTTTGATGGGTCAAAACGTATGTTTCAAGTGTGCTAGACCTGGTCACTATGCGAGGGATTGTCCCCAAATCGTGGGACGAGTTGCTCATGTGCAAGTGGTCTCTGGTCTTCCAGCAGCGGCACATGTTAGCACTTCGACCCAACCCCAGCTAGAGAGGTTCCCATACTTGACGGGAGGTATGACGCATGTAGATTAATATGACATGCATAGTTTATTGAGGTTGGAGCCACACGTGCTTAGACTGTGGACTCAATTATGATTGTGTGACTCGTTATGTCTAGTAATTAAAGACTAGACTATGTATTGATTGCTAAAAGATGGTAAATTGTATGCAATGACCTTTCCATGGATGTAGTGGTATTACCTCCATGAGGATAGTATCCTATGAGATAGAGAATTCTCATGAAAGGTCTATATTGAGGGGAACTTCCCTTGGAGTTAGCCTTCGGGACCTCCTTGTGGTCAGATACCTAAGAGAAACAGCCCATAGCGGATCTCTCTTGAAGTTCCATCAGATGAGATTTTATGTATGAGGTTATTAGTAGGACCGCAGAAGGTAGTGAATAGGTATGACCCTGGAGGAAAACGAAAGATA